TGCAAGTCTCTCTGTAGAGCCTCCCTATCCTCATGCAGATCAACACTCCCACCAGCTTGGTGTCATCTGCAAACTTACTGATGATATGGTCTATGTCCTTAGCAAGATCATCAATAAAGATGTTAAACAGAAATGGTCCCAACACTGAGCCCTGAGAAACACCACTTGTGACTGGCTGCCAGCTGGGCTTGGCTCCTTTGACCACCACTTTTTGGGCCCGACTGTCCAGCCAGTGCTTGATCCAACAGATCGTGTGCTCATCCAGGCCATGATGACTGGCTCATCCAGCCAGTTTTTTTAAGAGAGTTCTATGGGGAACCGTGTCAAATGCTTTTTGGAGGTCCAGATAGACAATATCCACAGCCTTTCCTTCATCCAGTAGTCAGGTCATCAGCTTATAAAAGGAGATCAGGTTTGTCAGGCAGGACCTGCCTTTCATAAACCCATACTGACTGGGCCTGATTGCCTGGTCATCCTCTATATGTCTTCTAATAGCACTCAAGATGATCTGCTCCATGACCTTCCCTGGTACTGAGGTCAGACTGACAGGTCTATGGTTTCCTGGATCCTCTTTTCTGCCTTTCTTATAGATGGGTGTTATATTTGCTACCCTCCAGTCCATTGGGACCCCCCCAGTTAGCCAGGAATTCAGGTAAATGATACCAGTTTGTCATCATTCATGCAGCCGTGGCAATGGATGGCAGCAGAGGAGCCATCCTACTCCTTTCTCTGAAGTGTAGATGCCTCCAGCGGTCCAGGGGAATTAAAAAGCAGCCTGAGTCTTAGAGAAGTTTGTTTCGTTTAACACGGAGTCCATCTGGTACCAGCAAAGTTTACATTCCTGTAAACTGCACAGTGTTGAGTTTTACTAGGCCACCTACTCTGCTGTTTTCAATTATAAAAATCTCTGAGTGTCCTGATGATGTAATTGATTTCAGGATGGGCTGAGCTTTTCAGGAAGCCGAAGATGCCAAGTATCTGTCTTGGCCTCTGCTTGAACCATACGAGAGGAGTCCCTGCATTATTAAGCATTTTGTGGATTTATTGTTTGTTGCGATTCTGGTTGCTTCAGGGAGTATTCCTGAAAGGCTTTTAAAAGACAACAAGTAGTTGATTACATGCTGGTTTGCTTTGTGGGAAAGCTGGCATGAGGCAGAGGTGGAACCACTGCCCAAATGGGCTCTTTTCGCACTTGGTTTAGCAAACCTGGCGATCTGGATTTCCTCCTCTAATTTTTATCTATTCATCATAAATATCTGTGAGACTCACAACTTGGACTCTTTGCCTACTCTTGAAGTAGCATTTTGCTGCATGGAGCTACCACCTATACAGTTTTCCTACACCTGTCCCATGCCTGCTCTCATGTGGGAATAACTGTGTGTGTGTTTTGGCACCAGGAGGCACCCTGTGCTGGTCGCGGTGGAGCAGGTGACAGGGAGTGGGTCCTATGATCAGTAGGATGTTTGGCAGCTTCATGTGGTTGGCAAATGCAGGGAAATCTGACTTGTAAATTACTTTATGCAAAGGAGCTGTTTAGCAGGTATAAAACAGTTAAGCTGTTGTAATAGGAATTTCTTTGATTGTGCTAACTAAAGACAAAATAAAGACTTTTGGCTGCTCTTAAGGTTGTCTGAGAGAAGTTCAACGTAACTTGTGATGTTTTTGCAAGCTGCAATTTTACATGTAAAATGCTACTGCATATTACATGGTGTGCATCACTGACACTTAGCAAACTTCTCATCCACGTCCCATTCATAGTTCATTTTATTTTAAGGCATAAACTGTGTTGTTCTTTGCCTGCAGCAGAAGGGAGATGTTTTTGTAGTTACTTTTTCTGAAAATAAGTAGTAGCCTTAATAAGGTTCTCTGGAAAACCATGTGGTTCTTGTAAAGCTTTGATGTGCTGAGCATAAACCATATGCTTACACCACTCCTACAGGTTGATCTGATGGGCAAACAGCTGGATTACCAAGCAATGAACCATGCAGTCTTTTGTGGTTTCCAGATAGGCTTCAAGACAACAGCTTTCTCAAGATGGAAGAGCTTTACTTATTAATTGTACTGTCACAGAAACATTTCTTAACTGAAGCTGCAAAGTAGCAAAAGCATTTGGAAGAAGGATTGGAAAGTTTAGGGCTCCCTGAACTCCTTTTTTCATTCATTCCCAGTTACTCATTGCTTTCCTTTTGGTTCCTTCTTGCTTGCCGCCTTCTCTGCTCTTCAGTGCAGAGCACTGATTTGCAGTTGGTGTCAATGCAGGGGTTTCTTTTTTTTCCAAGAGGTGATACTGCTCCACAACATAAACTGTGAGAAATCTGTCAGGATTTTCTGAAATGCTTTCAAAAGGCCTGCTCTGCAGTGGCCAGAGTTACCATGTAGTTGGTGCAACTTGCTAGTGCACTTCAAATTAAGTGACTTGTACCTAAACTCATGCCTTGAAACTGTAGTAGCTCACGTGGTGTTATGCTTGGTGCAAGGGAAGTGCAAGGTGTGGGCAGCATTTTAGTTACTCATAGGCAGGCAAAACAAGTGAAAATCAAGATGTTTGTTGAGTAGGCATTTCCTGCACTGTGTACTGTAAAGGATGAAGAAGCAACTACTGCCTTCTGTTTGCGTTCATTTTCTGGGTTTAATTTTCACCTCAGACCAGGCTTGAGAAGGAGCAGAGAGCTGGTAATGGTGCATCTTCTGTGCGAACTTGATCTGTGAGAAGCCAGCTCCATCCTGAACATGGCAAAGCAGTGGGGCCTGTGTGTCCCTACATCCCCGCAGGCGCTGCCCCCAGGGGTGGCTGCTTTGGAGGGCTGAAAATGCATGGCTTGGAGATGGCAGCTGCCTCATGAGTTTTGGGTCACCGGTTCAAGGTGATGCAATTTTTCAAGGATGAAGTTGGCAGACTTCTTGACACCAATAAAAAGTGCTCCTTATCTCTAACTGAAGTCTTGGATAAAAAGCTAACTGTTCTGCCTCATCTTTTCCCAGAATAATTCCATCTAAAGGAAATATTTGTAATGGAAAATTTCTGCCCAGAGTGTTGCAGTTAAGTTAAAACTACAAGTGAGTGAAAACAGGTTCTTGAAAAGAATCAGGCAGCATGATTAATACAGGGCTCTCCTCCCTCCACCTATAAAAATATAAACAAAATGCAACCCAACACTTATGTTCCTGCTGCAAATCGTGAGGGGGTTGAGTTTCATAAAAGGTTCCAGTAGGGAACAAAAGCCCAGGGTTTGATCCAAATGCTATTAAAATCACTGAGACTCTTTTCCTTTGGCTCCAATAGGCTTTGGAGCAACTCCATGGTGAAAACTTGAAGGCCAGCTTGACCTTTCATGGAGAGAGAAAGCTGAAGGCTTAGTTCCATCTCACTTGTACTTGCTGGAGCCTGATTAAAATCAGTGGGAGCTCAAAAAACTTTGCACTTTGTGGAGTTCAGCCCTTGAAGACCCATCTGACATTTAAGTCAGGTTTGGTGCTTAAATGTCAACATTTGTAAATAAGTAAACACCAAAGACTGAAAGTCACCTGGCTTGCTTTACAATATAGGATTTGGTTCCTAAGTCTTGGGCATGACACTTAGGGAGAGTTTTCTGGAGAGCAGTTATTTTGTAGAGAGCACCCAGATATACTTCTTTATTCTTGTTAAATGCTGCCTCTGTTTCTTCCTGGCTTTGCCCCATTGCTTTTGTCTGCAGTGTAATCTTTTCTCCATCTTGCCATGGTGACCAGGCTTGCAAACTTCCTACTATAGAAAATTTGAACAAAAAGCCAGATATTAAAGACTCTTGGCAGCATTAGGAAGTGCTGCAATCTTGTTATTTTGAAGACTTGAAGGGTGGAAGCAATTAGATGATAGACTGTCTTGAGGAATTTGGAGAGGAAATAAGATGCATTTTATATGCTAGATGTTTATATGCTAGATGGGAGAAATGTATGATGCTTTAATGGTTGGAAAGCTAACTTACATGCAGGTGTTGTGATTCATGCTGCAGTTTTTGTAAATCATTTAAACTGAGTATCCCGATACTGCTTGTATGTTACACAGAGGATCCACAAATGTTTTCATTCTGAATTTATTTTGTTTACTTGGTATTTATACCTTCTTAAAATTATTTGTCATTTTTCCAATAGTTTTCTAGCTTCTCTATGCTTAAAATATTCATGTTGTCTCTTCTGTATCTCTTTTTGTTTCTCATTGCTGTATTACAATGATGAAGCCTCTGTAAGGTTCAATAGAAACTGAATTATCATTGAATTAATGTCATAGGTATGGCACTGTTTGTTAAATCAAGTAGGCTCCTTATGTTTTGGCAACGCTTCCAACCTATATTAAAAGTATAGTTTTGGCTCCAGATACAGTTTAATTTTACTCATTGAGAAACAGGAAGGTTTTTATGAATTCTCCAAAACAATAAGCCACCTGTGTGTTTGTTTCTGCAATTATTTGTCATAACACCTTATCAGCATTATTGTAATTAAAGTTAAACATGCAGAATACACTTCAAAACTATGCTTAACGTAAGTTCAGTTATGCTAGACAGTTATTCCCATCTCTAGAGACTGAGGAGTTAGCTGGGAACAAGGAGTTTTTTCCATTTTAATAATGGCCTAAAATTAAATAACTGTGTTTGGGTGACCTTTTAAAAATGTGTCTTGGTGTAGTCTTCTGGGAATCTGAAGACAACGGTCTTGGTGAGATACACGTGGGGGTTTTCTGAGTGTTAAGGAGTTAATAGATCATCTAAAAAAAAAACAACAAACCAAAACCAGACCAGATTTTGATGGGGAAACTGCTGTGCATTATAGTGTGTGTTATTTGAAGTGGTCTCAATATTTTACTTAAGTCATGTGGAAAGTGCTTTGAAGAGTAAGAGTGATGTCATTATAACTGCATGATAGTTTAGAGTGGTTAAAACAATGTGCAGGGGTTTTTTTTCCATTTGAAAAATGAGTTATGGTTTGAAAGTATTTGAACAAATATTTGTTTTCTTATATTTCAGCTACCTGACTGCAAATAACAACCAGAATTTCTTGTATACTGCAAGGCCCTTTTTGAAGAGAGCTGCTTTGGTGATAAGCTATGTAAGTATGAATGAACTTGGACGTGTATTTCTGTGTACGTGATGAGAATGAACATTGTGTGGTAGTATCCCAAAAGAATCAGAAAGCTTTGATGGCAGTTCTTAATACAAAGTTAGTCTTGGAAAATAGTCTAGAAAAGTTCAGCTGGGCAGAGCCAAGAATAGTGCTGTGTTTTCAGTTCAAATTTTCTTTTAATTTATGGTGGCTGCCCTTACAACCGTGTAATCATCTGCAAGTATTTCCTGCCCTAAATACAGGGGGACTCTGTGGTGCTGGGCTCATGTTCCAGTGACGTGCTGTTAGTTCCAGTGCAGGGCTCAGTAGGAGTCAAAAGGAAAGCTCTGCCTGCAAATACCTGCTGCTTGGCACTCTCCAAGCAGGACTTGACACGTTGCAGGAGAGAAAACAAGCACCTTGGTGGGGGTGTGCAGTGCCCTGTGCTGCTCTAGGAGCTGGATCCCCTTGCTTGTCCCTTGACAAGGGCTCCCAGAAAGGTGGAGGAGTGCCAGCCCACAGAATTTCTTCCAGGGATTAGGATTACACAGCATGAGAAACAGCCGATGGAGCTTGTCCTTACACCTGTGCCAGCAGGAGAGAATAATAGCTTTTAAGACATCAGCCATGTTTTTCACCCTCTGTATTTATGTAGAGGTCAATAGCAAAACTGTGCATTCTGAGCCATAGCAGAGTGATGGATTTGTCCTTTAAAATGCTGCCTTAGCCATGGGGAGCTGAGACATGCTGGTTGCTGTCACTAATGCATGTGTGGAAGGGGAGGACACAACCACAGAACGGACTGTCTGTGCCCAGGCTGTTGGCGCATTTGTCACCTGCCTAAGGTGGCAAAATTGAATTTTTCATGAATGGCTGAGCTGCCTCACTTCTAGGCACAGAGCAGAGCGTGGAGAGCTATTGGAGTAAAGTATTTGCTGGAGGCCTTAGTTCTTCTTAGTAGGGTGTTGCTAACTGAGATGTTCTTCTTTGGAGGTGATCCTCGTGTTGTATTTCCGCCTCTGGATAATGGGAGGATCCATGCCCATGTTTTCGGAGCAGGACAATCCAGCTTCATTCTCACCATATTTCCTGACGAGGTACAACACCACTAATCAAACAAAAGTCATGAAAAGTGTAGTCTTGACATTATTTTCTCCCTGTGCTAAAATGTATTCCAGATGGTGAATGAGAATACTTGTTTTGTTGTCTTAATTATTTCTTCTTATTGCTCTATCTAGAATAGAAAGCAACCAGCATTATCTGAAAACCAAAGCACACTCTGGGTCCTGTAGAGTAATATTACAGATGCTTTGCCACTGAAAAATGTGGGCTTATTTTTATACAAAGCCAAATAATATAATTTCATTGCCTGAGCACAGAACTGGAAAGCTCAGTGACTGATGCCTAATCCTAAACCATAAAACTGGCTGCTCCTGAGGTACAGGACACAAGCATTCAGTTTTGGCTTCAGCTGAAATTTGTATAAAAAGGGGATGACCACACCTGTTGGTGGAATATCCGTGGCTGATCAGTGAAGGTGGGACCCAGTGGCACAGAGTAGTGACCTCCCACTGCACAGCTCTGGCTGAGCCTAGGATGGTCTGCCATGGATTAGTTAAGAACAGTGAACTGAAGTTTGTGGTAACAGATTTATTTTATTTTATAACTTTTTTTTTTTTTTAAGATACCTAAATGGTATCTTAATAAAATAAATACCTTATATTTGGTATTTATTTTTTTTCTTGCCTGGGACCCACTGTGTGGCTAGGTGGGTGATACTACATCCCTCTGGCTCTGCTGGGCCAGACCTGCAAGGCAGTGACAGCTGCGACTTAGCCCTTCCCTCCAGGCGTAGCCTGACCAGCAGTCTGAGAAGGTGGTAGAAGGTCGATTTCCTCCTAACACAGGGCCATGTGCATAACTATTTGCTCTGTTTAGCTGCTGAACTGGGGAAAGACACTTTAGAGGCTTCTGAAGGAACTGCCTGATGTCTCAAACGAAATGGGAAGGGTCCTCCTCTGTGTCACTTTCTGGCCTTGCTGGCTCCACATTTCCCCCAGCAGAACTGCAGCTGAGACACAGGTTAAGACCAAGTAATCCTTATTCAATATCTGCTGCAGAATTGGATTGGATCTCATTTGGGATACCTTTATGATAATATGAAAACAATTGCTATTACCATCAAGGCTAAAAGTGCTTCCAGGAAGCATGTTGTCAGATTTGGAAAGCTCTGATCTGTTTGCAGCATTTCTGACAGGGTCATTAATACCAGACTCTGTGCAGCACAGCATGAAGGATTTGCTGCTGTCCCTTTTTGCTATGTTTATGCTGAGATGGAAGATCAAGTCATAAGTGATCCTGGCCTGATTCCAATTATGTGCTCTGTGCTGCAAAAGTCTTTTTTTGTGTGTTTGTCTCTTTACAACTTGTAATGACAGGGGAAGGTTTTTTAAACCCAAAAGCTAAGTCTTTCTTGGAGTATGAAACAGTGACTATTTTTACCACTGGCACTGTGGGTTTTATTAACAGCTTTATGAAAGACAAGTGAGAATGCTGCTGGCTGAGGTCCTCCCTGGCCCCAGCAGCAGCCCTGGCTTCTTCTGCAATCCAGAAGCACCCACCTTCCCCAAACCTAATTAAGGAAACCTTTGCCAGTAAAACCAGTATTATTGTTCTTTAGAATCTGGGGGGATTCTAAAACCCTGTAGTTAGCTCAGGTCTTGCACTTCTACTGAGCTTGATCTTAATCCTTATTGTAGCCTATTTACCCAGAAGCCTCTATGTTCCATCCAGAATACATTTCAGGAAGCCCAGATGCCAGACATTAGGTGGCTTTCTAATATGCAGAGTTAAATTTAGCTGGTCAGTTCCCTCTCTGCTGACATAGCACCAACCTCCTGTGGCTGATGCTCAGGCACAGGTCCTAACAACAGAAGCTGAAAGGTATGTTTGTTGCTGAATCCTGGTCAGAGTCCAGTCAGGAGACAGGACTGGAGGCAAGGCTTCAGCACTGGCCAAAGTTCATCCAGGAGAAAGGGTGCGAGGCAGAAGTAGAGATAAATGAGAGCCTGTGTCTGAGGGGCCCCATCCAGGAGATGGTTACCTGCAGCACAAGTCTAATGTCCATCCAAGAGACAGGGCTGAGCTGAAATGGGACTCCTAGAGCAATGGTCATTAGGTGTGGGGCCAGGTAAAGCTCATCAGGGCTTTGACAGCCTCTTGCCACAGTTCAGTACCTGCTGCTTGCCCTGACGTGAGTCTTGTTGCTGACCTTCTGTGATAGTCTTTGTCCTCTCCCTCTAGGCATTGTAGGATGTAGAAAGATGCTGGTTCCTGAGCCTCTGATGACCTTATTAACCCTAGTGTCCTAGCGTAAGCCTTCATCTAAGACATAAAGTACCTGCAGAATCTGCCTACAGATTCTTCTCTCCAATTCTTGTTTCTCCAAACTCAAACCTTAAGCTGACCACTACCTTGAACTTGCAGACAAACAACCTGAAAGGAGCCAAAACCCATCTCTCCTGATGCCTTGCACCACCCTAAGCCTGTAGGATCCACCTGCCAGCACATGAGGTTTGCTCAGCAACACCTCCTTTCCTGAAGCCAGACCCTAACCCTTCACTTCAAAGTAGTCAATGACCCACTGACTGCCTTAGAGCTAGCTATGGGCCCAGCTGTGCTGCTGGCAGCAGTCTTCATGTTAGACCTGGGGCGTTCACCCACAAATAAGAAACCAGAGATGAGAGCTGGTTTATTATTGTTGTATCTTGCCAGTCTCATCAAGCAGTGGGAAGACTAGTCGATGTGGATGATATCCTAGAATAAGTTTAAGAACATCTGGCATGGCAAATTTTTGCCAAATGGGTGAGTGGTCAATCCTGCAAAGCAGGCTGAGATGTGGTGGCTGTCTCTGAGCTGACAGCCCATGATTCACCCACTGACCACAACCCTTATCTTGGCAGCAAACCCTTTACTTCCTCACTTCCTCTTTCAGACTCAAACTATAACTGTCACCTGAAACTTTACCATGGTTGGAGCTGAAGCTCTTGCTGCAGAATTGACATTGTGCCAGTCACCATGAGTGCAGGACTGTGATGTCAGATGGAGCAGCAAGGTTGAGTGGTGTTGGCTTGGTTTCCAGGAAGATCTGTGTGTCTGGCCAGCGGGAAGGTGAGGCTGAGGTGCAGGGCTGGCATTGAGCTCAGGTGCAAGAAATAGGGAAGCTGAAGAGATAAGATTGTTTTCCAAGCCTGTTATTTCCATAGAGGTGGTGTTAGCTGAGTAAATTGCTTGGAGGTGGATTTGGAGGTTATACGAATTGCTGTCCCCAGTGTTAGGGACAACATTAGGTGAGGGTCTAGGACATCAAGGCTTGAGGATATTCAGCATCCAAGTAGGTGCTGATTTATGTGGTTGCTTACCCAACTGGCAGGATGTCCAGTCACACAGGAGAGTTTGTGATTATGGCCCAACCTCAGAGAGGCTGCTAAGCAGTGTGTGTTCCTCAGCTGTGGACACCTACAGCAGCATATGAAGAACTGGTGTAAGAAGCTTTTATCAAAGTTTTGAAGGCAGCAATTAGGTCACAGCACTGAATTTAAAGGCAGGATGCTATTTGCAATTTGGGCAGAGTTGGGAGGAAGGGAGTGGAAGAGCTAAGTTTGGTGTCCAGACCAGAAGGGAGAAGCCCTATGAATATAAAAGAAAGGGCAATGTTGGGTGGGGATCTTGAGGTACTTACTAACACTTTAACTGTGGCTGAAGCAAGCGTTAGTGCTCAGGCAGTGGGCAAGTTGTTTTGTAAGTCTGAAGATCACAGAGGGCACAAATGGGAGTTTCTGTTTGCAAGCAGTTGTCTTTATTTGCACTGAGCTGGAAATGTGGTTATTGTGCATGTCTTGCCAGGGTAAATGTTCTGGTTTTCAGTAGAGTTGAAAGTTACTGTAAGACTTGGCCAACTCTGTGGGGCTAGGAGGAAGGCTGATGACAACAAGTGGAATAAAAAAGAAAAACCATTTGCAAATATGTGGCAGTCTTTGTGAAATGCATAAAGTTAGGTCTGGAGTTGGAGTCTTGGCTGACACAGGATAAACCCCAAGGAATACTGCTAACTCTTGGAAGGTTTCTGTGTCACCTGATGAGCTGTACAGGCACAGTTTGTCCAGAGGCTGGCAAGGGTTATTGGAGGTGGCTAACATTAGGGGTAGGTTTGTAAGTATGAGTAATGTGTAAGTAAGCATTGAGTAAAGTGTAAAGATGTAAGTAAGTATTGAGTAATGAGGTCAGATTTTGTCAGCCCTTATGGTGTAAATTAGGTGACAAAGGGTGCGAGAGTAGCCTGTGCACCCATGATTGCACGGAGGAGGGGAGCATATAGAAATCAGGGTGCATTAAACACATCTAAGAACAGACAGGTTCCAAACAAGCCAAGGAGGGGATTTGCAAAAAGTAATTGAGCTGGGGAGCTCCTTGCTGAGGGATGCTGAGGGATGCTGAGGGATGCTGTGGGTGTGCTGAAAGTTTATGCAGGCTCTTAGAGAGATTTGCCAAGATAAAAAAAGAATTCCAGGCTACTAAATATGCAGAAACCACATCCAACTGAGGGACATCATGCTAGCTAGGAAATGGAATAAAGTATTGTGTTCTTATTCTGTTCTTATTTGGTTTGCTTGGCATTAATTTTCAGACACTGCTGGACAGACCTTTGGTGTGGCCCAGTTTGGCCTTGGAACACGACTGTATGTTCTGTGTAGCCTTCTCCAATCTTGGACAGCACAAATGTATACATTAAAGTAGACAGAGAATTGATTCATTTAACCATTGGAAGACAGACTTGCAGAAACAGTGACAGTTTTTCAATCCTTGGAGAAAAATAAAATCATCTTTTCATTATGTTCACTAAATTACTGTCCTTAAAATGACAAGTCAATGAGGATGCAAGTAAATGCTCTGGAAGTCAGAACAGAAATGCTTTGGTCCTTGCAAGGTACTGGATTGTCTATTATTTTCAAATACCTCAAAACTTCCAGTGAGATAGATGAAACCCACATTTCCATGACCTTCAGTGTATTGCTTGGCAAGGGTGATCTGAGAAGAT